AAAAGCTACGCTAGCAAGTGATAGTCTAAGCATGCAAAAGTCCTGCTTGGTTTTCAGTTAACTTCATTACTAATTCTATCTGCAATCTGTCTTGAACATGGAACTCTAAACTGTTTGCCATATTTAATCCTTCATTAAACGGCAACTACTGTTGTGTCAGGGTTAACAGGTATAAGGTGGCAATTACTGTGTCTATGTGCATGCTGATGTCAGAAATGGCTGATACCTACATATTACTGTGACACTTATTTTGGTTTGCTTTGTCACAGGTTCATTGTGACGAATAACAGCTCAGGTCATAGTGTTAATGGACAAAGGTACAATCACCTGTCATACTGTCTGTGATCTCAATATCTCCTCTCTTCATGACTTCATCCCTCAGTATTTTCCCCTTTATCCACTCTTTTTCTCGACCCACGTCTTGCTCAGTCTCACTTTGGTTCTCAATGTGTCTCACAGACATGGATTGTGCTTGTACATTTCATCGAGATCGTCACAAGTTTTTCCAGTTTTCCTCTTTCCTTTTACTTCTGTGATATTCTTAGAAGAGTGAGGTCACTAATGGTTTTTGTGAGGGCAGGTACAAGGAGTATCAACTTCAAGACTACAGTTCGTGGTTTCTAAAACAAGTAAGCACCTGTTTATATGCAAATACTACCTTTGTCACAATTTATGTGACACACTTTCCTTTTTAGCCCGTCCTAAAAAGAATGTCACATTTCTTTAATTTGAAACAATATAACTTAAATTTCATTTTACTCTTAATGAAATTATCTATAGCCACAGGACCACAAATTTTCAACTCTTCCTTTCTTTCTTTCTTAAAATTCTTGTCAAGTCAAATGGTGCCACATAAATTGGGACGGAGGAAGTAATAAGTCGCAGGTTATAGGGCAAAGGCATCATGTCCTGATCGTTATAGGAGTTGTTTCAGATGCCTTAAGATGAAAATTTCATGCATTGATTAACCATTTGCTCATTTGTTTCAGCTCAATAACACCCATAACTGGAAGCATCTGAAAAGCTGTCTTGTCAAGACTGATGACTGTAGTAACCTATCAAAACGATACAAGGTCATGTTCCGACTTGAACCTGTTCATGATTTATATCTGTGAAATCATACTATTAATGCTTCTGCTGTTTTGTTTCAGACTGCCAAGCAATACAAATTAGCAAAACTAACACCTATTGAAGCTGGTTGCTGCAAACCACCATCTGAGTAAGTTATTGTTATTATTATTTGTTTGTTTTTCCTTTTCTTTCTTTTGCAAGATATTTTCGTTTCATACTACTCCGAGAACACATTAATATCATCTAGCAGTTATTTTACAATTAAGTGAAAGCTCACTTTGTGAATTAGTAATTACAAAAAGAGTAAGATGTGTTATAGATAAGTGTTAAAATGATTCGTGATCAATATGCTCATATACTCTGCTCCTTTTGTAGATGTGGTTACCCTGCTGTTAACGCCTCATACTATGACTTGAGCTTTCATCCGACAAGTTCAAGCAAGGACTGCAAGCTTTACAAAAACTCGAAGAACGTCAAGTGCTATAGCTGTGATTCCTGCAAGTAAGAGTCATCTTCTGGTCTTGTCATTCTTCGCTTCATATAAGGTTATACAGCTCACAACTTTTCTCCTACTATATTTTCTTCCAGAGCTGGTGTTGCACAATACATGAAAACTGAATGGAGAGTGGTTGCTATATTCAACGTGATTCTCTTTGTCGTTTTGGTAAGTTCACTCTTCTAATTAAGATCTCAAAAAGTGAGCATAATGACTCTTGTTTCTTGTTGGAGAAGTACGGTTACATTTATGAGCTCAGATTTGAAGTTTATGAGTTCTAAACTTTCCACCGAATCCATACTCTTCTTAGTTACAGAATTGGCAACTACATATTTATACATTATTTAATGGATTTCCACAAAAATAGGGTCTTAGCAAAAGTTATTGGATTCATCTGAACTCATAGCTAATAATCTAGCTCCGCCTCTGTGATTTTTCGGATGACTTGAATTTGTTCATATGACTTCTACTCATTCTCATCCACTGCTGATTCTTACTTGTGTCAGTCGATGATCTACTTCGTTGGATGCTGTGCAAGACGCAATGCTGCTCGTAGACGCTCTAAAATTTGAATTCCGCCACTGCAGAATCCAGATGAGATGAGTTGGTGTTCTTCGGCTGATGATAACAGTTCATGTTTTTCAGCTATTTGTTGACAAACTTTGTAAAGCTTTATTTGAGTGAAATGATTCATGTAATATAAAAGAATTTTTGATGTTTATGTTGTTCATTCTTCCATTACATCTAAAACATGCATTAGGACCATATAATTTTAAGGGGTCGTTTGGTAGAGTGTATAAGAATAATGCAAAATAGGGTGCATTAGTAATGCTTGCATTAGTAGTGCTTGCATTAGTTATGCAAGTATTGTTTCTTATACATTGTTTGGTTTGATGTATTAAAAATAACAAATCTTGCATAATTTCTATTAAAAAATATATGTTTACAAAAATACCCTTCACACTTTATTTATTTGTACACTTCCTTTGCAACAAATTTATTTGCTAAAGCATCATTAACTCTTCATTCTTCTTTTTCTTTTTTTTTCAAAAATAATATTAAATAGTTATACTATTGAGTCAAAATATTTTCGTAAAAAATTGGCAAAGAATTTTTTTGTCTACATTTAAAATAAAGCATTTAGGTTGTCATCAAATACTAATAAAATACAGGAAAGTAATACAATCAACTCAAGAAAAAGATAGTAATTTACTTGTTCACATCTAATTATTACTAAATCAACTAAGATCAAATTCTTTTACAACAAAAAAATTCTACCTTCATTTTTTTTAATCATATTTTAAGGATGAATTTATGTACTACTAATTAAGAAAAGCATAACGGATGTGAAAAAAGAATAAGTTTTGTTTTTTTGAGTTAATAAGTTGGGGTGAAGCAGTGGGCTTCTTAAAATTTATCGTCACAATAGTAAATTTTTTGATTAAATTAGATTTTTTTTAAAGATACTTAAGAGGCCATAAAGCCTATTAAGACACCAATAAATTAAAAGACACTAAAAAAACAAATCAACATAAAATAAAAACTTATGACAACAAAGAAAATGAAAAGACTTTAAGGGTAGTTTTTGTAATTATTTAATCTAATGCAAGTGTTAAAATGTTATGTATTACTAATACCTAGAATTCCTTGGTATTAGTAATACATAATAGAGTGTATAACTAATGCAAACATTAATTATACATGGCATGAAAAAGTGTACCAATCAAAGTATTATTAATACACACATCTAAGGTATACAAGACTAACTCTCTTTGTGTGGAAAGTATACCAAAATAAAATATTACGTTAATTGAAGTACAAGCAACAAAGATAATAACATAAATAAAATGAAAATAAATTAAAGGAGTAATAGTACGACTACTAGTATGAACAAATAGCAAGACTACACACTACTTCCTACTAACCTTCTATTCTAATTTGTGTCCTCCACAAACTTCTTTTCTAAGGTGAAGCCCTCGGTAAACTGATACTGCACCAAGTTTTGTCTAATTACCTATCTCAATACTCTTTTGACTTCCTTTTACCTCTCTTGAAACCACCTATAACAAACCTCTCTCACCTCCACGGTGGAGCATATGTGTATCTCCTCTTCACATGTCTGAACAATCTCAATCTTATTTCCATCTTGTCCTTCAGTATATTCTCATTCCTATTTTATTTCTCCTAATATATCCATATCACAACATCCTCATTTCTACAACTGTCGTTGAAGAAAATGATCTTTCTAAGAAAGTTATCCCTCAACTTCAATTGTTTATTTCTTCATGTTCAAACAATATTCAATCATCTTAACCTCGACAAATAAGTAACTCTACCACAATTCACATTGTTTATTCACAAAAAATATACTTTATTCTTTAAAGTATATTTATAAATTCAATTTTTTATTTTAATAATATTGATATTATTTTACAAGATATTATTTTACAAAATTATATATACATGAAGCTGATATACTAGTTTCATGTAAAATTGTATTACTCCCTAATTGGAAATCATTTTCATGAATTCTTAGGCTTATTTAGTTCACGCAGGTGGAGAATGTAATTTAATTATTTTTTTAAAAAATTGAAATATTTTGGTATATTATATATGTTTTTTTCAAATTATATCCACACTTACTAATCCTAACTTAGTAAAATTCATCAAGTATATTAAAATATTACCAAGTTAGATCTTTTTTTTTTTTTTTAAATGGAAAAAAAATTCATGTCTTAATCCCCAAAAGTTGGGAATACTGTCACTTGGACTCCAAAAAAAGGACAGAATTAATGTTTTTAGTTTAGTTTATGCAAGTGGAGAATATTATTTGATTATTATAATTAAAAAATCAAAGATTTTGGTATAAAATTATGTTTATTATAATTATATTCACACTTACTAATCCTATTTTAGTAAAATTCATAAAGTATTTAACTATTTAACTTTAGAATTTCAGATCTCACTTATTTTACTTATGTAAATTACTTTATTTATTTTTTTAAATAAGGAAAGAAATCCATGTGCTAGTCCCCCAAAAGTGGTAATATTATTACTCGCTCTATTCCAAATTACTTGTCAAATTTTTCTTTTTTACATGTTCATTTTCACAAATCAAGAAAGGATAATTTTTTTTTTTATACCCTCAATTAATTAACTTTGAAAAAAAGGTAGAACTTTTTAAAAATCTTAAATTTTTAATTCATCAACCTCATAATTAATAAAGGTAAAATGGTAAACTTATTATGTCAATTATTTTTTTTAATAGGTATATCAAATCAAAAGTGAACAAGTAATTATGAACGTAATTAGGGACAAATGAAGTATTTTGTCTTAAAAAAAATAGTCTGAATTAATCCAGCCATCAAAAAGCGCGGGAAAATTAATATCCAAAGACAAAAGAAAAATGGCCTATAAATAACACAACTCTCCCTTCGTTTTTCTCAAAAATCCCCAAAATACAGCAAAAAAACAAACCCTAGAAATCTCTCTAATGGCACCAAAGAGAAAGGCAACTGTGGGAGAGCCATTGTCGACACGTGTAACCCGTAGCCAAACCAGGAATGGCAACTCGAAACCCGTTTCAGTTGACCCGGTTTCACCAAAACCAAAACGGGTCAAAAAGGGTACCGTTTCTGAGGCGAAATCGAAAGTGAAGGCTCCAGTTGATTCCGGGTCGAAGAAGATTGTTGTTGTTGAGCACTGTACACAGTGCAGTCAGTTCAAGATTCGGGCTGTGAAGGTGAAGGAGGAGCTGGAAAAAGGGGTACCCGGCTTGGAGGTTCGGGTCAACCCGGAAAAGCCGAGAAGGGGTTGTCTTGAAATCCGGGTCGATGGTGAAAAGGGGGAGAAGTTTGTTAGCCTTTTGGATATGAAGAGGCCATTTGGACCTATGAAGGCACTTAATATGGACAAGGTCATTTCTGAAATTATTGAGAAAATTAAGTGATAAATTTTAATTTTATTTTGCTTAATGGGGAAATTTGGTGGTTTTGTTATGACAATTTACTAAGTGTTTTTGGGGATTTAGGATTATGTTTGGATTAAGGGTATGATTTTGTGTTTTGTATGGCTAAGTACTTGATATTTTCAATCCATTTGAGCCCTTTGAAAAAATATGGAAACAAATTGTTGTAAATTTTGCTTTTCTTTTCCCCTTGCATTTTGCAACTATGCTTAAAATGAAATGATTACTGTGGTTGAAATTTTATTATATATTATTGCTAGTGAGTCGATTTCAAGATTTGAAATTTATTGATTTTGAATGGTTGTTTATCTATTTTAAATTAATGCCCAATTATGATTGTGTTCACAATCAAAATTTTATGGTGTTATTGAATGATTAATTTACTCTATAAACTAGGTTTGTGTTAAAGTTATTGGATTTTGTGAACCTATAGCTTATACTTTGGATGTGATTCTATTTTTAGCATGTAACAACAAATTTAGTATAATCTCACATATGGGTCTGAAAAGGATAGTTGACACCATTTTAATCTTTTAGCTTATGAAAATAGGGAGATCTATGGTGAGGATATGCCTTTATAAAAAAAATAATCATCATTGAGAAATATGGATTTCAAAGTCACTAGATCACTGAACATGTCCTTGGAACTTTTGAATGTAGTGTTTGGAAAACTATTTGGAGACTCAGGCCCCAGTTTCAAAAAAATATTCAACTTAAGGTGAGTAATGACTTGAAGATTGAGTTTTGGAATGAACTTTGGATATGTGAAATAAGCTTAAAACTTATGTTCCTCCTCGATCAATAGACTAGGGCCACTATAGATACAGGGTTGGAATTTCAAATGTAAAAGGGCCTTAAATAATTGGAAGGTTTTAAAGAATTGTAGATTTGCTTATGGTAATAAATGATTTCAATGGAACTACCAATGCATTTGATAGACCAATGTGGAAACTTCACAGCAAGGTTGAGTTCATTGTGAAGTTATGCTATTGGAGGAGAAATACGACTTACTACACATTAGGAACTGGCCTTTATAGAATAGAATCATTTTGAGAAATATGGACTTCAAAGTCACTGGATCACAGAAGATGTCCTTAGAACTTTTGAATGTAGTGTTTGGAAAACTATTTGGAGACTCAGGCCCCAGTTTCAAAAAAATATTCAACTTAAGGTGAGTAATGACTTGAAAATTGAGTTCTGGAATGAACTTTGGATTGGTGAAATAAGTTTAAAATTTATGTTCCTCCTCGGTCAATAGACTAGGGCCACTATAGATACAGGGTTGGAATTTCAAATGTAAAAGGGCCTTAAATAATTGGAAGGTTTTAAAGAATTGTAGATTTGCTTATGGTAATAAATGATTTCAATGGAACTACCAATGCATTTGACAGACCAATGTGGAAATTTCACAGCAAGGGTGAGTTCATTGTGAAGTTATGCTATTGGAGGAGAAATACGACTTACTACACATTAGGAACTGGCCTTTATAGAATAGAATCATTTTGAGAAATATGGACTTCAAAGTCACTGGATCACAGAAGATGTCCTTAGAACTTTTGAATGTAGTGTTTGGAAAAAACTATTTGGAGACTCAAGCCTCAGTTTCAAAAAAATATTCTAACTTAAGGTGAGTAATGACTTGAAAATTGAGTTCTGGAATGAACTTTGGATTGGTGAAATAAGTTTAAAATTTATGTTCCTCCTCGGTCAATAGACTAGGGCCACTATATATACAAGGTTGGAATTTCAACTTTAGAAGGGCCTTAAATGATTGGGAGGTTTAAAGAGTTGTAGATTTGCTTATGGTAATAGATGATTTCAATGGAACTACCAATACATTTGACAGACCAATGTGGAAACTTTACAACAATGGTGAGTTCACTGTGAATTTATGCTATTGGAGGAGAAATATTGGCTTACTACACATTATGAACTAGCCTTTATAGAAAAGAATCATCATTGCGAAATATGGACTTCAAAGTCACTAGATCACTGAAGATGTCCTTAGAACTTTTGAATGTAGTGTCTAGAAAACTATTTGGAGGCTCAGGCCCCAATTTCAAAAATATATTCAACTTAAGGTGAGTAATGACTTGAAGATTGAGTTCTGGAATGAACTTTGGATAGGTGAAATAAGATTAAAACTTATGTTCCTCCTCGATCAATAGACTAGGGCCACTATAGATACAGGGTTGGAATTTCAAATTTAGAAGGGCCTTAAATAATTGGAAGGTTTTAAAGAATTATAGATTTGCTTATGGTAATAAATGATTTCAATGGAACTACCAATGCATTTGATAGACCAATGTGGAAACTTCACAGCAAGGTTGAGTTCATTGTGAAGTTATGCTATTGGAGGAGAAATATTGCTTACTACACATTAGGAACTGGCCTTTATAGAAAAGAATCATTTTGAGAAATATGAACTTCAAAGTCACTGGATCACTGAAGATGTCCTTAGAACTTTTGAATGTAGTGTTTGGAAAAAACTATTTGGAGACTCAAGCCTCAGTTTCAAAAAAATATTCTAACTTAAGGTGAGTAATGACTTGAAGATTTAGTTCTGGAATGAACTTTGGATTGGTGATATAAGTTTAAAATTTATGTTCCTCCTCGGTCAATAGACTAGGGCCACTATAGATACAAAGTTGAAATTTCAATTTTAGAAGGGCCTTAAATGATTGGGAGGTTCAAAGAGTTGTAGATTTGCTTATGGTAATAAATGATTTCAATGGAACTATCAATACATTTGACAGACCAATGTGGAAACTTCATAACAAGGGTGAGTTCACTGTGAAGTTATGCTATTGGAGGAGAAATATTGGCTTACTACACATTATGAACTGGCCTTTATAGAAAAGAATCATCATTGTGAAATATGGACTTCAAAGTCATTGGATCACTGAAGATGTCCTTAGAATTTTTGAATGTAGTGTCTGGAAAACTATTTGGAGGCTCAGGCCCCAATTTCAAAAAAATTCAACTTAAGGTGAGTAATGACTTGAAGATTGAGTTCTGGAATGAACTTTGGATAGGTGAAATAAGCTTAAAACTTATGTTCCTCCTCGATCAATAGACTAGGGCCACTATAGATACAGGGTTGGAATTTCAAATTTTGAAGGGCCTTAAATAATTGGAAGGTTTTAAAGAATTGTAGATTTGCTTATGGTAATAAATGATTTCAATGGAATTACCAATGCATTTGACAGACCAATGTGAAAACTTCACAACAAGGGTGAGTTTACTGTGAAGTTATGCTATTGGAGGAGAAATAATGCTTACTACACATTAGGAACTGGCCTTTATAGAAAAGAATCATTTTGAGAAATATGGACTTCAAAGTCACTGGATCACTGAAGATATCCTTAGAACTTTTGAATGTAGTGTTTGGGAAAAACTATTTGGAGACTCAAGCCTTAGTTTCAAAAAAATATTCTAACTTAAGGTGAGTAATAACTTGAAGATTGAGTTCTGGAATGAACTTTGGATTGGTGAAATAAGTTTAAAATTTATGTTCCTCCTCGGTCAATAGACTAGGGCCACTATATATACAAGGTTGGAATTTCAACTTTAGAAGGGCCTTAAATGATTGGAAGGTTCAAAGAGTTGTAGATTTGCTTATGGTAATAAATGATTTCAATGGAACTACCAATACATTTGACAGACTAATGTGGAAACTTCACAACAAGGGTGAGTTCACTGTGAAGTTATGCTATTGTAGGAGAAATATTGGCTTACTACACATTATGAACTGGCCTTTATAGAAGAATCATCATTGCGAAATATGGACTTCAAAGTCACTGGATCACTGAAGATGTCCTTAGAATTTTTGAATGTAATGTCTGGAACTACCAATGCATTTGACAGACCAATGTGGAAACGTTACAGCAAGGGTGAGTTCACTGTGAAGTTATGCTATTGGAGGAGAAAACTACACATTAGGAACTGCCCTTGGAAGCTAATATGGAAAGCCAAAGTCCCCTTAAAATTTTCTTATTTTGTGTGGTTAGTCTATGGAAAAGCTAGTTTGACTCATGAAGTACTACATAGAAGAGGTAGACAAATATGCTCAAGTTATTTTATGTGTGATCAGGATGCTGAAATAAAATAGCCATTTATTTCTACACTGTAAAACAATTACAAATTTGTGGAACATGTTCTTGTGTATAATTGGAGTGAGTTGGGTTGTTCCCTAAACTACTAAAAGTATGATGGACTGTTGGAAATAGATTGACAGAAGAGGACTGGTGGGAATTGATCCCTACAAGCATCTGGTGAGCATTGTGGAAGGAAAGAAATGCAATAGGCTTTGAAGATAAAAGCAACAACATACGAAAAATCAGAATGAATTGCCTTAGTTTTCTATATTTTGGTGTAAACAGGATATGGTGGGGGGATATAGAACTTTTTGTTGATTTTAAAGGAAAACTGTAAAGCTACATAGACTAGTTCTTTTGACCTTCAATTTTTACCCTATGGGATGTAAGTGTTCACTCTCATCATTGTTTGAATGATGGAATTTTGTGAATATATAGTTACCTATTGCTAAAAAAAAATAATCAAACTCAAGTATTGGATATGAAGAGGCCATTTGGACCTATGAAGGCACTTGATATGGACAAGGTCTTTTCTGAAATATTGAGAAAATTAAGTGATAAATTTTAATTTTATTTTGTTTAATTGGGAAATTTAGTGGTTTTGTTATGACAATTTACTAAGTGTTTTTGGGGATTTAGGGTTATGTTTGGATTAAGGGTATGATTTTGTGTTTTGTATGGCTAAGTATTTGATATTTTCAGGCCATTTGTAGCCCTTTGAAAAAATGGAAAAAATCTGTTGTGAATTTTGCTTTTCTTTTCCCCTTGGATTTTGCAACTATGGTTCAAATGAAATGATTACTGTGGTTGAAATTCTATTATATATTATTGCTAGTGAGTCGATTTCAAGATTTAAAATTTATTGATTTTGAATTGTTGTTTATCTATCTTAAATCAATGTCCAATTATGATTGTGTTCACAATCAAAATTTTATGGTGTTATTGAATGATTAATTTACTATATAAACAAGGTTTGTGTTAAGTTTATTGGATTTTGTGAACTCGTAGCTTATACTTTGGATATGATGCTATTTTTAGTATGTAACAATAAATCTAATATAGTCTCACATATGGGGTTTAGAGAGGGTGGTGGATGCAATTTTAATCTTTAGCTTGTGAAGATAGGGAGGCTCTGTGATTAGGA